AGCAACACACAGCAACACACAGAAACACACAGCAACACAGCGACACACTGAGCTGTTGAGGTGTGTCTGTGAAGATCCTCAGCCCTCCAGCTCAGGGTTCTTCTGGTAGATGAATGCTGGCAGCTGGACCTGCTGGAGATCCCTGAAGACGTTCCAGGTCTCATCCAAGAGAATGACTGTTGACTTATATTCTGCATGTGTGGGAAGATAAAGCACCTTCATTTATGTTTTTCCTCTTAAAAAAAGAAAAGAAACTATCAAGAAGTTCTGATAAGAGTCCAGCTGACGTACCGGATCAGTCAGAGACGACAGCAGACCAGAACTAGTTCCTGGTTCTTCAGACGGCAGCCACTGATTCAGTCATTATTTTGTCAGAAGGCTGCAGACGAGCTGAACAAAGAACCTCCGAAGGACCAACGAACTGTGGAGCAGCTGAAGGAGGAGCTGGATGAAGCTCAGAGACAAACACAGCAGCTCAGACAGGAGCTGGACCGGACCAGGACCAGGACCAGGACCAGGACCAGGGCTGCAGATGGAGGCCGCTGGTGGTTCGTACCTCCTGGACTCAGTGTGAGACTCTAAATCTTCTTTTAACTCTCTGGTGTTTGTGATGATCAGCTGATCCTCCTGGTTCTGGATCCAGTGGCTGGTTCAGCCAACAGAACCTTGGCTAAGACGTTTGACTCTGGTGACCACTCCATTCCTTTGGAAAGGTTACAAAATGTTGGTTTTTCCAACAACTGTGTAAACTGGTTCAGAAGCTATTGTCCTGGGCGCAGTGAGGGTGGAGGGTCTTCTCTCAGACCCTTTACCAATTCACAAAGGAGTCCCACAGGGTTCAGTACTTGGTCCAACACTCTTCAACGTTTACATCAACAGTATCAGCCATGCCGTAGCCAGTTTGCACGGCCATCTGTACGCCGATGACACCGTTGTCTACAGGTCCAGGTCCTCCCTCCGCACTGCCCTGTCTGCGCTACAGATTAGCTTCAGGAACATTTAACACACCTTTCCAGATCTTCTTCTGTCACTAAACATAAGCAAGAGATTCTGTTTCTACTGGTTCTGATCTTTAACTTCTCTGGTTTGGACCCTTTAGGCTCAGCAGCAGCTTTGAAAAGCATCCTATCTGTAAAAAATCACCAGTTCATGACAACCACAAACAACACAAAGAGTTGTTGCAGCTGTTTGCTGGTCCTTGAACTCGTCCGCTCTGTTGGAAACATGAACCACGTTAAGGCAGGAAGTCGTGACATTCTGTCACCATCGATTGTTGTCGTAGAAAAATAGCCCATCGTGTGGAAAAATGAGAAACTCAGAACAGTTGAAGCCCAGAACCGTTCAGAGGGTCAGAATATGACTAATTATTGTTGTTTCAGTGAAATACACATTTGTTTGGTTTTCAAACGCTGGACAACGTTAGAATGTCCAACAGTGTGTTTCACTAAGCTGTCGTCTTTCATGTCACAAACCTGAATTGGAAACCTGATGTAAAGTAATCCTGGGTTTCTCAGGCTCCCAGTCTGGACTCTGGTTTGGACCTGCAGCAGCTCGGTTCTCCTGACCGGCCTCCAGCAGGTGGAGGATACTGGGTCTACCTGCCGCCGACGCGCTGCGACCCGGCTCACTGCACTGACGTCCAGAGCAGAGACGAGTGGAGGGACAGTGGAGGAGGCAGCAGCTCCACAGCGGGGACGCCTCCTCCTCAACCCCACCCAGCTGCAGGCTCCTCCGCTCCTCCTCCTGGCTCTCACACGCCCCTGCTCGGACCCGGCTGGCTGCTCTGCGGTTCTTACAGTCCACCAGCAGGAGGCGCTGCGCTGCTCTGCAACGTCCCCGAACACACGGAGCAGGTGAGTCTGAGGCCGCTGGAGAGCTTCGGTTTATCACCCACAGCTGCTGGTTCATTACACCTGTCTGTGTCATTACACCTGTCTGTGTCATTACACCTGTCTGTGTCATTACACCTGTCTGTGTCATTACACCTGTCTGTGTCAGCGTTTGAACAGAGAGGCAGAAGAGCTGCAGGAAGACAGGAGGAAGCTGCGACTGGAAACCAAACGGCTGCGACACAAACACAGGTANAGCTCTCCCCTGTGTTGATGTGCAGCTCTCTTTTCTTCTTTAGCTTCTCTTCAGATTCTCGATGGTTCACTTCTGGTCATCTTCAGGTTCTGTTCGGTCCGGTTCTTTTCACCACTCGTGCTGCATGTGTCACTTTGTCTGTGTTTGTCATGAAGCCAGTGTTTGGTCAGACAGACACTCCCTGCAGGCCAGAGGCCCGTATACAGATGACGGACTTCTTTTTATTGAGATACAACCAGGTTGTGTTCTGTAATGATGGAAGCAGCTGCTGTTTGTGAAGCCTCTTGTATCCGGGCCGGTTCTGATCGATAGCCGCTGCCTTCACAGAGCGACGGCCACCGGCGGAGCCTGGACCGCCTGGACAGGAAACTACGGCAGCTCGGCAGGTCCATGAGCGCCGCCGATCAGCTGACAGCAGAGCAGCTGGAGGTCTCCATCGAACAGCTGAGAGCCCTGAACCTGACGGTGGAGCTGCTGCAGGCACAGGTGTGTTCCAGCACGGCAACACGGCAACACGGCAACATGGCAACACGGCAACACGGCAACACACAGTAACACAGCAACACAGCAACACACAGTAACACGGCAACACGGCAACACGGCAACAAGGCAACACAGCAACACACAGTAACACAGTAACACGGCAACACGGCAACACAGCAACACACAGTAACACAGTAACACAGTAACACGGCAACACAGCAACACGGAAACACGGCAACACACAGCAACACGGCAACACGGCAACACGGCAACACGGCAACACACAGTAACACGGAAACACGGCAACACGGCAACACGGCAACACGGCAACACAGCAACACACAGTAACACGGAAACACGGCAACACACAGCAACATGGCAACACGGCAACACGGCAACACAAAGCAACACGGCAACACACGGCAACACACGGCAACACGGCAACACAGCAACACACAGTAACACGGAAACACGGCAACACACAGCAACACGGCAACACGGCAACACAAAGCAACACGGCAACACGGCAACACACAGCAACACGGCGACACGGCAACACAAAGCAACACGGCAACACGGCAACACACAGCAACACGGCGACACGGCAACACAGCAACACACAGCAACACACAGCAACACACAGCAACACACAGCGACACAGCAACACAGCAACACACAGCAACACACAGCAACACACAGCAACACACAGTAACACACAGCGACACAGCAACACACAGTAACACAGTGACACAGCAACACACAGCAACACACAGCAACACACAGCAACACACAGCAACACACAGCAACACACAGCAACACA